AATACATACGTGTATTTATGGTCATTCGTTCTTTTTCTATTTCAAATCAAGTTTTCGTGGTTTCTTTCGAATAAAATTCTGAATCTGATCATTAGTCAACAGCAACCGATTGAGTTGCGAAAGATTTAAATGGCCTAATACAAAACAATAGCCGCTCATTTATGGTGTGATGATTTAAACTGATTTATTACCCATTTCGCTTTCGCCATTCGGCGAGAATATTCGCAAAACAAATAGAAAAAACAATAGAAAGAAAAACGGCGATCGATAGCTCTTCGTGTTTCGAATGAATTATAAACTAGAATTTTGTAGTTGTTTGGAGTAGTCGCGCAAGTAAACTGAATTCTAAGGAATCGGCTATCATCAATTATTGACTCCAATTAAATGGAGGTTAAATGAAAGCCTAAAAATACTTTACGCTTGATGAGCCAAGCTCATTTACACAATGAAGATGGTTTGATTTTGATGGAGAAAGACTATCGACTAAACACATTTAATTGATTTGATGATAGGCTACGAAATGAGCGAATTTGTATTCGGATGAGATTGCACGCAAAATTTAGAGGGGAAAATTACTGGCAATTTCGATTATGATGTATGTCGGTTTATATTACGGGAGTGAATAACTCGCAGGCTTCGCTCAGTGAGTGAGTCTGAATTGGAAATTTGTCAAAAAATAATGAATGAATCGATTTCAGTATCCCATTGGGTGTCATATACCATGTGCTTAACACATAAAGCTTACGTGAGTACAATCGATCCATGTCCAAATCCACCCTTGATCCGTGGCTATTGATATAAATTAATAGCCCTCATTTTTTGACATTTATGGGCGACGTTGACGTTAATTATGCAGTAAACTAACATTCGGAACACCTGCCGTCGTTACCACACAAAACGGAGTTTATGAAAACAACATATGCCGTTCGATAGGTTTGCCTAGCGCACGGTTAGTAATAGTGGGCAAATATTTTCTATTTTGCTACGTCCTACAACAGCAACATCAACATCAACGGCAACATCGACGACACCGTCATCGACATCAAATTCCGATTACATCTACAGAGTTGATGAGCGGTGGAATGTAATTCCATTTGATGGGAAGCAAAACTGAATAGAAAATAAAATAGTCACACGACACCTTAACTTTCGCCCGTGTGTGAATGATAGGCATTTATGCGTGTTGTATTTTCACTGTAGTCGGCTGTAAAAAAATCGATTCAATTTCTCAAAGTTCTTGTGTTTATGTCTAGAGCTCGACGTATTTTATTCATACGGCTTCGTGGAATGTGCGCAAATCTCTGTTCACAAACGAATAAGGTTCGCACGAAAGAAAACAAAACAAACTTTAGATGTTTTTCTGTTGTTGTTTTCGCTACGTTACGCATTGTGGTTAACAATACGATTGAAAGTGTTATGTTTTGAATGCATGTGTGGACGTCGTTGTGCACCTTGAACAGGCACCCGTGGTTGTTACATTGATAAACAAATCACAAAAAGTGACACCGCCGAGATACAAACACTCACACAAGCACACGTAACATTACTGAATGGCTCGTGTTTCGACCGACCACCATTCGTTCGATATATGCATATCGGTCTGAACTAATTCATGGGTAAAATTGGCTCACAGTAGCTTCACACTCGAGAGATAGATAGAGTAGAAAAACATGAATGTGAAGAAAGAAGTGACAAAACAGATAAAAAAAAGCAGCAACAACAACTGAAACACATTGAAGCCAACCACAGAAACACGGTCTCTCATTTCTTAGTGCGCGCGGTGCTCTTTTTTGTCTTCTCTCCGTCTCTGTCTCTTGTTGTGTTAGCGCAAACATTTTCAACCTTGTCAAGGTCTTTTCACTTTGTGCGCGCTGCATTCACTCAATGTACATTCGTCTGCAGTATGAGCGCACACCATGTACACCAATTCGACGGAGTTGTTAACGAATCAATAGGCCCCTACAATTAATCGCTCTCCTGGTGTACTCGATAAAATAGATTTACTATCTCAGATAGTCTATCTCAATGAATTCTCGTGCGCTCACAGTTGCTGCTGTTCAAGTGTATGAAACCGACGAAGGAATAAAAAGTGCTATCTTGAGATAAACAGAAAAAAAACCAGTATCCATACATAAAAATACCAGCTCTCGAATGCAATGCCTTCGTTTGGCAATTGAATCTCGCCAACAATAAGATAGATCGTCAACCAGTTTCATAGCGTCCAACACTAACTAGTTCGAGATCGTAAAAAAGAATGACAATAAAAAAACATACGGGCCGCCGCGCCATTTCTCTCTTCACAGCCAAATAAATGGCATTAAAAAATAAGCAGCAATGTCACCAGACTAAATCGACTCGCTTACAAGCAATGGGAATGTAAGCCTGCTGCTACATGCCGTCATTTGGCTCATAAAAGCAAAATACACAATATTTTCTACTGCTGTTCGTTCATGTTGCCATCGCGTTTCTGGTTTAAACTGCTCGTCCGCGACACAGTGTGTATGTGTGTGTGGTTGTTTTTTTGCTGTCGTGATTAGTTTGCACGCGATACCAAAACCAAAAACTTGTCTATAATTTAATTGAATTTGAGCAGCAGCTTGTCAGTGTATTTTGCCAGAAGTTTTTCAACAGCGAAATAGAAACATTTCACATTTGATTGATAAAATTCAACACCACTAATTTGTGTGTGCGGTAACTTTTGTTCCACCAAAAATAACACAACGCGTTTGATTTTGGGTAAAAAACCATGATGTTTCAAATGTGAATTTTTTTTCTTTGTCGTCTTCTTTTTCTTCTTGATTCCTTTCAGATTTTGATTTGATTAACTTCTCTTCATTCGATGCCATGGCGTCAAATTTATTTGAGTTCTCCTTATCTGTCTTTGCATCTGTTTTTCGTTCACTTTGCACTTTCGAACGGCTGAGAAAAAGCCAATAAATTTTCGATGGGGGAACATCCAGTTGATCATGTGCCAAAAAGTCAATGGCGTACATTTGACTCGAAATTGATTGAAATTTTATTATTTAGCGCATTTGAAAATGTTCGAGTCATTTCACGATGAACAGGCATGTGTTGTGTGTGTGTGTGTGTGTGTGTGTGTGCTTGAGTCAGCGTCAAGGTTAATCCAGGTAATTACGATTTTTTTTTTGCAACAATTGGATTTCAAGCGAACAATACTGTGTTTGACCGAATGTGATATTGAAAATGAATTTACGAGTTCAAGCGAAAATCGTTCCGAGAACGATTTCGATTTATTTTAAATACGTTTTATTACCTCTTTTGATCTGTTTTTTTTTTCAGATACGCATTCGCCATTTTCTATTTCGCACCCATTATAATTGCCTTCGAAAACATTTAATTATCGAAACGCACTAATTAAGAAATCATTAGCTTGAAATTCCGGCGAATCTGCTCCAGAGTAAAGCAATAAATTTCATCATGATTTAAAGCCAACAGTGGTAAAACGAAACGTTACTGTTTACACACAGCTCAAATGAATGAAGAATAAAAATAATAAATTAAAGGCCCGTACGAGCAAGAAGTCACTTAGAGCTACTGTGTCCACTTTAATCAGCACATTTTCCATGATACATTTTATTGAAATCGAAATACAATTTTGTATGTTTTGCACATGAGCGAAAAAAACCGATTCGTTTCGTATACACGGATGTTGAATGTCGATCGTTGATACACACAGTAAGTGTTGCGAATTTTAAATTCCACATTTGATTTGTTTGTGTGTATATGAGAGGTTTGGCTTAAGGTCAAGGACAACCACAAGCATCGCTGTCTACTCAGCTCTGTAAACATTTCGCCTATCTTTATTTTTATTTTCACTGATATTTTATCTCCCGTGATTTTTTTCTGTTTCTTTGCAAAGCATCGCTCCAGCACACAATTTTCTGGGCAATTACATCACAATTACTTGCAAACTGATAAATATTTATAAACAAGTCAAGTATTAGAAAAAAGCAAACGAAACACGTGGCTACATTTGCTTAGGAAAATTTTATTGGGAAAAAACACAAAAACAAAAACGCGAAAAGCATGCGAAAAAAGATAGTGCCACAAAAAGTTGAAGAGAAAAAAAGTTTCAATTTATTGTTGTACTAAATTACAGCCGTACATTTTAATTGTGGCTGTTCAAGGAGGCGGATGTTTTTGAGCGATTTTTTTCTTCTCTTTCTATCTTCCCCCCTCTCTCTCTCGTGCTCTCTAATCAGTCAGAAAAAGAAATTTTAAATGAAAAAATGGCACAGCTAATCACGTGCAGGATAGGAACAACGTAGATAGTTTCCGCATCAGATATCTCTATTGATATAATGTGGGGTACGCTAAACAGCACACTATTCCCGAATGGAATGCATTTAACATAGCATTTAAAAGAATTTGCTCGCTTAAATATTCAAAGTGATTGCGTGGCTTTGAAACGACATCAAAATCCGGTGTAAACATCGAATGTCGATTAACACATTTGTTGTCGGACGTCATCGCGATTTGTGGTTGCTTTTTTTTTGCAAAATTGCTCTTTTAATTATCAAAACGAAGTGGATTATCGAATCAGATATTGAATGGTGCACGAATGCTTTTTATCGACGGTGATAAGTGCTCTTTTAACTGTTTTTAGCGCGGCACTTAGCACGATAGACAGAATTCCAAAACGAGGAACTTCGTTGGAAACGTGGCTCTCAATTAGAAGGTGTGAAAACATTGCTAAAAATAGGCGCACACAAAAAAAACCACCGGAAAACAAAACGACGAAAATGACCCTTTGGTGATTTTTTCTTTTTTTGGTTATTTATAAGCGTGACTCAAGCTAATTTTCAAGTGTTGCTAAGGTTAGTCACGGTTTGACTTGACACTCGATGATTTATGAACTATTTTATTGCCATTCGATAAAAATACCAAGGGTTCCATTATTTTCCATAACAAAGTTCGACATTATCGCAAATCACTTCATAATGAATGAAAAAACAAAAAATCAGTATGTGTTTACTCACCGGCTGCTGTACTCCTGAAACGATCCACCGTCGAGCAATCGAATTTTTGCAAATAGAACGGCATTCACAAATGGCACTTCAACCAATTCCTCCAGATTTAGTTCGACGGAAAATTTATATTTCTTCTTTTTCATCATGAATGCCATACCTGGAGCGCCAGGCCCGATCAATGTCATCCACACAATTTTATCAACGAACGAAATCAGTGAAATGTTTTCCTTATTTTTTTTTTCAAATCAAATTTGCAATTCTGAAAATTCACCGTGTTTTGGATATAATTGGATTCGTTTTCGGAATTTCTATTTTCAGTCGCTTAATTCATTCTCTTGTATAATTTTTTGGTTTGCTGTCAACACCGTCTAAGCGGTTCGAAGAATGTTTTCGTTTTTCTTTCGTTCAAATTGTTAGGCTCGTCACTTTCAGCAAAATGTTTGTTGTTGTCAGTTGATTAGATGCTAGTGTTGCGATAGCAACGTTTCAAATCCAAAAATAAAGTCTGATACACTTAGGTCGTTGTCGGCGAGCGTGAATGAAGGTCTGTAGCATTCCTGGAACGAAACATGATTCAATATTAAGTCCTCTATCTAATCGAAATTTTTCGGAATATGAAAAGAAAATATATAAACATAATTCTCTAGAGAAAGCAGTCATATTTCAAGAGAATTTTGGCCGGAAGCCATGTAGCACAGAAACATATTGACTCATTTCGATCTGAATTGTATTAGTCAGCATAATTCGGATAGACTTTCGTTTTGGTTTACGAAAAAATGCGAACGAGATAGCATCTTCCATTTACTACTACTACTTGGTCTACTGGCCACGAGCATCAACTACATAAACTCTATGAACGTTACAACGATGGACAATATTGGACACAACCTTAACCCATCTCGTAACCGACATACAAAAATAGCCAACTTCCATTGTTTTTTTTTCTTTCCATACGAGATTAAAAAACCAGCATTAAATTATTTACGCAAATGAAGAGAACGGAACTATGAAACAAACAGAAATTGTGAAAGATTTGAGAAACGAAATTGGTGCTGCGTTGTTGACCATATTCATTTCGATGTTGTCGAGACAAAGAACGAAAGCAACACATTCCAAAAAAAAAAAATGTAAATCAGTTGAACAGATGGAAAACATCACATTTTTATTAGCTTTAAATTGTTTATATATGTTGGAATGAAAAAGAAATAACAATATTGTGTGTGCACAATACACGGAACACACAAAATAAAGTGTACGTTCTATGTGATGAAATTAAGTGGGTCAAGTACTGATATATAACACAGTGAGATTGCGATGCTCGAGTATCTCTCTCTCTTGGCAAGAGAGAACAGAACGCGTATATAGAAAACCGCGAGCAAAAAACGGTGTGTGGCTGTCGCCGCGTTTCGACGCACTTTTTTTTTAAAATAAAATCTGTACATCTGTTCAGCGCTCTGGTCAAACACTTAGTTTATATGTGATGTGAATGAACTGTTGTTAGAAAACGAGCTACTTCCACTTTTCCTAACGATATCGCCCATTCGAAATACGTGCTCTTTCTCTTTTGATTCGTTCTCGTTTCGTATTCTAGATTTACTTTTTTTTTTGCTGCTCGGAATTTCCACGTTATTCTGATTCGACGACGTCTTCATTGCTCATGAGTTCATATTGCGTCTTTACGCTTCGCTTTGCGCGGTTGCCATTTAAACCATCCACATACAGTGTGCAATGAGCAATGAGTTGAGCATGCCGCGATAGTTTCGATTCAAACAAAACTTTGAACCTCATTTTTCACGGCAAGTGTTACTTTTATTTGCCATTCGTTTGATGTACGAACACAGCGGGCGGAGCAGGCCGTGTGTGCATACCCATTATACCGGCCGAATCGGAATGAAGAGTGCAGAAACAAAGCATTTAAAATAAATTAGCACGTGGGCACATACATTCAAATGGAAAAATTCGCAATTAAATTGTGTTCATGATCATAGGGGAGTTTTGCACACGAAAAATTATGTCGGAAATGCAAATAACTTTTCATTTATTATTGCTCACACACGTCGAAATGGTTTTGCGTCTCTTTTGCATTTGCACGTGATTCGTTCGACTGACCGAATGCCATTTGATCGCAACATCAATCATGGACGGAAGGTGATTGGAAAATGAAAATTCTACTTCCTCGGTGGTTCATTTCTTGATAATAAATCGAAGGTAGGTTGAAAGGTCATGACGACGCCAAACCATTGCTGCAAAATGCTCATATAAATCAATTATGTTTGTACAATGTACAGCATCGCTGTACATAGATTGCTATTGTATTACGTAAAGTCGTAATAGTTTGGAAAACCAACAATTCTTGCTCTATTCGCCATACTGTGTGGTGGTGGTGGTATGTGCACAAGCCCGCCACGGACACTGGGAATAAAGTCATGCTTTTTGTATCGGTTCATTTATTCTTGTTGCCAAAGTGACTTGGCTGGCAGAAAAAGTCGTCGCATTTCAAGGTCTTGATTGAAATTTGATAAAAATAAAAACGAAAGCCATCGCGTAGACCATTGGCCACGTTAAGCCAAATATCAAATTGCTTAAGTGAGCCAAGTTTTCAAGAGTATCAACAATAAATTACGGACTCTTTTTTTATTGTTTGTTCAACTATTGACGCGTCATTGACGCAAAATACTCAATGTGGGTGGCCACCCGGCTACAATATACCCATATTAATTGTTTTTTTTCCTTCTCGAATTCGAAACTTGCTAAAGCATGATAAACAATATCCAACCAGAGATTATTTGTCGCACATGTTTCTACGGAAGTTCCTAATGACATACATATTCACCGTTCTATTATATTCCAAATATGTCATATGGTCAATATGTGTATTGTTTCTTGTTCTTTTCAGTTTTGCTGCTCATCAATACGAGAGGTTTGAACTAATAATTTCGAAGCAAAACTGTAATAGTTCGATTTCATCACTTGATTGAGCTGCCACATAGATTTGTTCGGCCATAGCTTAAAATACACATTGATTTGATTGGAATTAATATGGAAACAGCGACAATTGGACACATAAAATACGCCACAAATATCCAAATGATTGTCGTCATTTCGATTCTATTGCGCTCAATCTCAAAATAACCAACTTTTCATAGTTGAATACATTACAAAAATAGCATTTTGTGGAAAAATAGAAACAACTTAGATGGAAATTGTGTGTGTGTGTGTGTGTGTGTGTGTGTGTGTGTGTGTGTGTTTATGTATTGATTTTCATCGAAAACTGTTTCACCTATTTTCCATCGTCATTATTCATTGATTGCTTCAATGCATATATATGCAGATGATGATGTGAATTTAGTGTGTCTATCAATAGATTGAATATATGTGTGCACACATCGCATAAGCACACAACAAAATCAGAATGTAAACGCAACGCAATTTCCTTAGCGTCCATTAGTCTAGATCGAAACGCGTCAGTTGTTCGTTTCGTTCCGTTCTTCTTTAAGAATATACCCATAGTCAGTAGTACATGGATGGAGTGAATTATTATTATAGAGCGACAGACCAAGCAAAAAAAAAGCACAAATAATGATCAAATCGGGGCATTGGCTTATTTTCCTCATTTTCCATGTTCAGCTGTCAATAATACGTATATCATTTGTCCATAAAAAGTTATACATGATATTTAAACGATATTCTTGGGCTGATATTTTATTGATACTATCAATCTAATGTGCGAACAAACCGATGAAGAAAAAAAAAACGGAGAATAGATATATTGTGGGACCAGCATTTTTAAATAAAATACCATATGAATTAGTTTTTTTCCATATACAAATTGGAAAATATCAGTCACGATTTTCAACTTATACACACTTTTGGTACGATTTTCAGCTTATTGCACACATATGCTGTAATGGTTTACAAGAAAACGCGGGCAAAATAGAGAAAAAAGAAAGAGAAAAGCGAATCTGCAGCAGCAACAACGGCAACCAGCTTATATGCATGAATGGCGATGTGAAATTCGCTTCAGCTTATTCACGTACAACATGAAAACTGTTACAGTACACGTAAAACAACATCAAACTTCAGACAACTGGTTCTCGCTACTTTCATTGTTCCAACACGAATGTTCACTCGAAATAAAATCACATCAATTTTGCTAGTCTCTCTGTCTCTCGCTATCTGTTCATTTAATATTCTAGCACTTCACTAGAACTCAATCACACAATCTTGAACACAACTTGTCTGTCTCCGCTTTTTTTTCGCCACAAAAATTATCAACATTTTATGCAACAGGCGCGCGCACCTCGTATTTTTCCAAGAAATCAAAACCAAAATGCTACAATTGATTCGAGTTAATGTTAATGTATGTAAAATTATTCATTGTCTTAATAGAACCAGCATGTTGATTGTTTCTTCATTATTATTTTTTTTCAGTTCGTTTGTCATTCGTCGTCGTCGTTGTCGTTATCTTGAAACTGGTAGGTCGCAATAAATAGATAAATATATTGAAATACTTGCCAAGGCTGAAGAGTGAATCGGACATGTGATGAGTGTGTGTGTGCCGTGTGTGTTGTCACATGCCATAAAAAAGCAGTGCCTCGAAATGCACATAAAATGATTAGATATTTTTAATTATATTGGCAAATAGACAGACTGGGAGGGAAAAAAACACACCACCTCATTGCGGTACGTTCAGTTGGGCCCACGCATCATAATAATAATGACGCATTCGCATTGCAATTATCTGTTGGGTCTTGTGTGACGTCTGCATGTCGTTCACTGAACACCGTGCGCTATTTTCTAAAGTATCTAAATGATTCACGGCCTTATATCATGAAATCTAAAAGTGAATTATTTTGTCACATTCATTCGATTTGGAGTGTGAACAAACAAATGTTTTTAGATAATAATTTTTTCCCTCTAAATCATCATTATCAAAACCACATGTGTGTACATATTGACTTGGCATTGTAAGCGATTTTTTTGTTTAACCTTTTTTTTCGGCATCAATAGAACGGATGCATAGATTGGGCCATAAAAAAAACAACACTGCAAATAACAATGCATGAATATCAATCGAGTTAACAATAATACGCCCCAGATTCCGAATCAGCAATCAAATTCCGCTGTGTTTTCATTTAGCAGCAGAGAGAGAATGCTGCGGCGTTCATATCAAATCATCGCGTATGGACAAGATTGCAGCCACGAACATTTAATCGTAGCGTAGCTGGGACAACAAACGTTGTAAATCGCTTTTGGTTATCTATTTCAACTTCACAAATACAGACACACACACACGAATGATACAGAAAAAAACCAGCTCCGATCAAGCGTTGCTTTAATTAAAACATCCTTTTGGGCTTATTTCAATGGATCTAAATGTGTGTATTTGGCAGCCATTCAATCGACATACGTCAACCATTATTTTCTAAAACCAGTGTGAAGCGATGGTTTTTGTTCGCTTTGTATGCCTGTTTTTTCTTATTACCGAGGTAGAATCACACACGAAAAAAGGAAGATAGACGAATAGAACAGAACGCGTAGATGATGATGAATGAGAAAATACGAACATAAATATATCTCTCTTTCCATCACATGGCACTTCTCGTTTTTGATTAAAATTCAAAAGCGGATCTGTGATATGAAATTCTTGTTTTTGAATGTGTTTTTCCTATAAGAAAGACTTTTTATTCGTCGTCATAGATTTCGTAGTTGTTGTTGTTACTGTTGTTGCTGTTGTTGTTGTTGTTGTTGTTGCTGTTGTTGCTGTTGTTGTGGTCGGTCGTTGGGTTTCGTGTTTAGAATGATGAGACGAAATGTGCAGTACATTGAAATTACACTCGGTGTGCATACATCATCTGAGAGAGAGAGAGCTACCCATTAATTTGTAAACAAACATAAATCAATTAAATGCACGGAACTGAAACGACGACCGTTGAATGCGGAACAACAAACAAACAAACAAAAAACAGTGAAAAAAACGAAACGAGTAGCACACGGGCCACTAAATAAAATAATATACACAAACACATCGACTAATTCAATTACACAATTGATATACAAAATAATAAGCTAGGCAAATTACTTTCGTTCGTGAGAAACAGAAAGAAAAAGTTGCGCGGAATTTTATTTTAATTCGATAGGGAAAAAAAGCCATAAATGAGAAATGTTGCCAGGCAAACTGCACCGACTTTTCATTTCAATATCAACTACATGACTGATGAATCGACTCACTTTTGTTAATTAAATTGTGCACAAAATAGAGGAAAACCGTCCCAAAACGCCTTATGTTAGTGTGCGTCTATCGTTGTATATATGTCGGTTGACAACGCCAAACACGCAGCAAAAAAAAAGTCGTCGTCAATTTTTATGTAATTGTTGTTGCTCAGGAAATATTATGCGTATTGAACCACATGGTTTTTTTTCTTTCCTGCTGGCGTCTCTTTCTGCTCGGCTCGTATATTTCCCTTCGGCACGATTTCTTTGAATATATTTACACTTTGGTGCTAAACACAAAACACGTGTGTGATTTTACAAACTCCTTAATAATTGCAGTTTTTCTTGAGTTTTATTTCCCTTTTCGTTTCGTTGTTGTTGTGTGTTGCTCATGTGCATGCAAAACGAAATGCAAATAAAGTAGCAAAACAATGCAAGAGGCGAACTACAACACACTATCACTGTGTGGCATTTAAATGCACAGTGCCAACAACACCAGAAACATGATGATGACCAATAACACACACGCAGTCTTCGTTTTCGTTCATTCACAAAATTGCACCGAATTTTCTTTTCTTCTCTCTCGTCAAATGCTCATTAATTCTTGGTTAATTTTTGTTTCTCATGCGTCAAATTTCATAAATATTTTTTTTTGTTTTCTGTGTATTGCTCTTTAATTAATGAAAGTCTGTTTCGTTTCGTCTTTTTTTTCTGCTTTGCTATGTCACCACTTTGTGTGTGAGTGTCAGAAAAATGTAAACGCGAAATGAATACGCGTATACACACTCGAAACTGTACATCAGAAAAAAAAGAAAAAACACCATCAAATATTCACTGTATTCATTTTTGCACAATTCCAGAATTATAAACCAAAATTAACGAATCACATCAATTTGTTGTTCAAGCACAGAAAAAAATTATCGAGCATTCTCCTCCATCGCAACCAAAAAACTTGAGTTGTTTTAAAGGAATATGGCTAGAGAATGAACGAAATATATTGACAGCACGACCAAACAAGCTTCAATACGTTTAAACTAATGAAAAATCATCTCGGTGGAAAAAAATTCTCTAGGCTACATACACCACTCACTCTCTCTCGCTCGCAATTGAATCCAAAGAGAGAAGAAGAAGACAACGAAACACACAGAAAAAAATCCTTTGTGTAGTTGTGCGCTTGTGGTTCGTCGTATCACAGCAAATATTGCCTTTGCATTTGTATGCGTTCATTGTGAATGTCAATTGAATAGACGAATTTCTAGATATTGTGTACTGTACAGTGGCAGAGCGACAGAGACCAACACATGGTGCGCAACCATCTGACAGTTGGGCTTTATTGCGTTGAAACGGACACTGTTGATTCGATGTAGGCATTTATAGAAAGGTTCGACATTAATTTTTCTTCTTCTTTTTCGGTTTTTTAATATATATTTTTAAATTTTAAATGAATTTTTTTCATCATTTTCAATTTTCTACCTTGAAATGCTGGAATTGGAAAGAGATATTTTCTTTGAAATAAAAAAGAACTTAAAATTCAATCATTCTATCATCACTTAGTGAACTTACCCTCGTTGTAACACTGACATTTACGTATTGTTTTTGTGTTTGCATCGAAAACTCTCTCCCGTACACGCACACACCGATGGAATTTACGTAAAATTGTTTGGCCGAACTGTCAAAAAAAAATCATCATCGTATCCCAGTGTCAATCAGTCAATTCACCCATAGAATCAGTTGAACAAGAACATGCACTCAGACAGCAGCAATCTCATTTTTTTGTCTGTACGTAAATAAATAAAATTTCAGTGGTTCTTCTTTTTTTGACAACAGCAACAACATTTGAAGTTATTTAGTGAATTTTCTCGGGTGAATTTGATGGAGAAAGTGTAATATTTTAGTGGAACCTTGGCGTTTAGATAAAGATGAATTTAAGTGAACATTTGTGGTCGATCAAGTGAATTGGATTACTCGAAGAAAAGGTGCATTGCAATTTTTTTTCTAATGGAATTTTAGACGATTGCCTGGAAATTGTTTAAAAGTTGGCCAAAATATTCATAAAAAAAACCAAATTAGGATTCAGTTTTCGTGCGTAAATGCATTGGGTGTAGCGTAGAAAGTGAGCTACATTTCGTTTATTTGTGTACTTTGGAACGAAAGCCAAACATAAAATTTTATCAAGAACGATTATGTGTGTGTTTTTCTTCATTTTACGTTCATCGCCGCATTTCGGTTGTTGCTACACGATAAAATAAGCGAAGGAAATGAACAAAAATATGATGAAATTCAACACACAAATCTCGTTTGACAACCTCATATTGCAAAGCTGTGTTTCGTGTTCATTCAATTCCATTGACTGGCACTGAACAATTCGTGATTGCATAGGCAAAAACTAGAATACAAAATCAAGCGATGGAACTAACAATTTTGTTTTGTGCTATGCGTGTTCTTTGCGTTGAGAAAACAGAAGAGAAAAAGAAAAAAAAATTGGCGGAAATTCCTAAATTGCTTGCGCTGAATAAATCAAGTTGGAAGATAATATGCGAGGGAGGGAGAGAGAGAGAGAGTGAACGGCGGCACAAGTGATAATTAGTTGGAAAATCAAGCGGCGCGAGCAAATAACAATAATACAATCATTAACACAATCATTTATGTGGTATATTGTGTGTGTGAGTCTCGGCGTAATCGTTGTTTGGACTGAATGTTTATTGTTTTTCAATCATAAAATCAAGCCCACACACATTTAAGCGACTGTACGGTTCAGTGTATCGTACACGCTTGAGTTGTGATAGTGTGTGAGCAGCAAAATCTTATCAAATACAAGCGTTGCTGTTATCAATGCCAGGTTTAAACGTCACTCGTGCCGTCATCGTGTATTATCTTGAGGCAATTAATGAATTGAGTAAACTGGTTTTTATCAGTATACAAAAATTGACGGAATCGAAAGCATACACAGTACACACACATGAATATTCGCACAATTCGTGTGCGCACACACCGAGAGTGTCTTTGCGATTTAAATGTGCATGGAAAGCAAGTGAAACGACGAAAATAAACACTGGCGAATGCTATTTTAAAGCAACAATAGCAATACCAAAAATAACAGCCACAGAGCACTTGAATATTGAAAACGACTCACGTTTTGTTGAAGCCAGCCAGCCAGCCAGTCAGTCACATACAAATCGAGTGTGTACGAGCATTGAGAACATTCTCCACACACACACACACACACACAGGTCGTTCGTGGAGCAATGAATTGAATAATAATTTAAGTTGAAAATAAAAAGACTGTACGGAAATCATTTGAGTTTGCGTTGAGTGTTTGACCAAAATAGCAAAATAGCAAAGTGTTAAACTGAACAAACAAAACCGAGAGAAAAACACTTAAATCTCATCAAGGCAAATCCCATCTCCTTCACTTTGTTTCTTTCGCACGTTCATCCGTTTGCTCATTCGATATCTGTGTGTCTATCGGTGTCTTTGTTTAACGAACATTGTTGAAAAGACAAAATAACACACACCAAGTGTTGTCATTGAAACAAGTCCCGTTGCCCGTTCACACGAAATCTATTCACCAAAGCCGATTCAAACATCTGATCGATTTTATAGTCAGCATAAACCAGATTTTGCTAATAAAAAAAAACTTTTCCATTGCCTTGCACGTTTTCATATCTAATTCATCGCGAATTTTTTTTCTCTACATTGTGTTGTGTTTTTTATTTCTTTTCATTCTCATCGTCGATGTGTTAGGAGAGCTATTGCGAAATCGTAATGTTCATTTGGTGGCATCGAATTTGGAACACAGACCCACAACCGAAATACGAACAAACTTTTAGTACAGATGCATCGACACATCGAAGCCACTTAGAAGACAACGACGAAAACCGCCGAATATCAGAAAAAACTCATTCGCATCCACATCATCCACATCATCATCAGCTGCCATATTCTGTCCATCACAATTATACCAGCCAATCGAAATGCATCCCAAAAACCCGAACTGATCACTTGTCTCGGATGAATTCGTTTTGTTTAGCCATCATTTTCATTCATTGTTTCAATGTAGCCGTACTGGCGATTGCAAGCGAAAATTTGAGCAATTCACAGCCGCAACCATGTGATCGCTCACGGCGAGTGTTCACCGACATGCGAGGTGAAATAAGCAATGGCCCGCCTGGATACAATTATACACAAGTAAGTCATTGTTGTTTGCTTGTTCGAAAGCATTTTTAACTCTCCGTTCGATTATTAAATTCAATTTTTTGCACACACTCTCTCAATTAATCGAGAGAGAAAGAAAGAGAGAGAGAGAGAGAAATTGATGTAAAGTGACGCGACCTGACCCTCGATCTCATTTACATAAGATGACAAAATAAGACGATTAATTTGGAAAATGCAAATCGCGCCACATTTCGATTCGGTTTCATTTTACTCACATTCAATTCTGTGTTTTCTCGCGCTTAAACCAATGTATTTGTGAAATTGTATTTCAAATTGCTCATAAAAATCATTCATTTTGCGGTTGCTACTGTGTGCTCGGTCAGTGTTACAGCTTTATGTAGTACCTTGTCTATATTCAACTTGACTTGATAGTTTTTTATTATCATCGCAACACATACAGAGACGGAGACAAGCTCCTAATGCATTAAATCAAATATTTTATTCATTCAATTCGTTCAATAGGATTCACATTGCGAGTGGCTGATTAAAGCGAAAAATGACAGTCAATTTATCACGTTAAAGTTTCATAGTTTAGCAACAGAATGCTCATACGATTATGTATTTGTTTTTGATGGCGATTCATATAAATCACCGCTATTGGGTAGCTTCAGCGGCAAAACGGAGCCACAACAAGTAGTGGCGACATCAGGGAGTGTGAGTATTTGTGCACCAATACATTTTGAACCGATTTACTGCGTGCAAAACAGCAATAAAATTTCAAATGAGAATTTCGATTTATTTGTTTGTTTTTTACGTTTTTTTTTTCAGATGCTAATTCTACTCTATAGCGACACAAACTATGTGCTAAATGGTTTTCAAGCCGAATATTTCATTAGTAATTGGTAAGGTTATCATCGTAAATTTTGTAAATCAATGCTTTTATTGTTGAAAATGTCGGAAATGATAATCATCATTTTTTTTTTATTATAATTGAACTAATTCGAGTTTTTTTCATCATCCATAGCCCGAATAACTGCTCAAATCGTGGCAAATGTGTTGGGCATCAGTGTGTGTGTAAAGGCGATTGGATCGCAAAAGATTGCAGCATTCATGCTTGTCCGGATAGCTGTGGCGTGCATGAAGATCGAGGCATTTGCTCAAAAGAACATTGCCGCTGTAAATATGTAAGTCAATCCCTTATCTCAATCCCTACAACCCACCCTATAACCGAACATTTTATTTACTTTATTACATTTTCTATTCACTGACGATTTTTAATTACGTTCCACGCTGGCAGGGATTTTCCGGTAAATCATGCAGTCTGCACATCGACAGTAATGTCGGGAACGAATGGCATTACTTAGCCTCCGCTTACAGTGGTTTAACATCGCGGGCAGCCCACTCGGCTATTTATGTGCGTGAAACGGATTCGTTGTATGTTTATGGTGGCCATGATCTGAACAATGTTCTTGGCGCTTTGCAAGTATGTGTGCCATTCACTCACGAACCAATGGAAACGAAAACAAATAATAAAATTTTTTCGATTTTTATTCACCAGATTTATCGCTTCAACAAAAGTACGTGGGAAGATGAGTTGGGAATTTCGTTGCGTAGTCGACATTTTCCGGCTGAATGGGATAATACGTTGCTTAAAGCGATTTTGCATCAAAATGAAGAAGAAGCTCTGCTGTGGGGTTTAAAGAGTGATGCATCATTCTTTCGCAACATTTTGCTTTCAATATCGGATGAAAATTTCCTTCGTCGAAGGCAACGTTCACCGAAACGCAGCTCAAAGCTTCCTCTCAATTTGAATGAATCGCTTACGAACACCGATATATCCGAGTTTCTCGAAGAGCTATCGGAAAAATCTCACATTGGCCCAATGCATCGATACGGACACGCTGCGTGCTTGATACCATTGGAAGGTGGTGGTTTCGTTATTTCCGGTGGCAAATTAGAAGATGGACGCTTATCAAATGACTTGTGGATGTTCAATGCATCTGCACAACAGCCCGAAGACTATTGGATATTACGAGCAACGAACTCATCGTTTCGACCACCACCACTCACACGACACACCATCACATTGGCCGGCGATTATTTGTACGTGTTCGGCGGAAGTTTGAATAACGGCCAGTTTTCATCGAGGTAAACATATTTGCACGATCGATTTCAATGAAAATAAAAATGCTTACAGTAATCTAGTAATACCCGATGAATATTCATTATTTCAAGTGGATACGTCTAATTTGGTACTTTTCAAGTGTGTCTGAGCTCATTATTGCGCATTTCACAGTCGATTGATTAATTCTGTTTTTTTTTTGTTTACATTGAGCGAAACAGAAAAGTTAGTGCTCAAAACAGATTTTTCTCATCGTTTTGCAGCCATGATACCGTTTTTTCGTTGAAATGTAAACAATAAACAAAATTCAATTAATTGGAGCGATAATGACGTAAACGAAAAGCGTATTCATTTTACAAAAATATTCATCTCAAATTGTTTCCAATTTCAGAATTTTCCGCATAAAATTAATGTCTGACCCGAACGAGGATCAGTGGGAAGAAGTTTATGCACGTGGCGGCAAGTCATTGGACGTTCGAGTCGTTGCACACACCACCATTTATCACGAGGCCACGAATTCGTTAATCGTTTATGGAGGCGTCGTTGTGAATGTGGCACGTTTTTCAAAATTATCCGACCGAATGTTTGTGTTTCATTTGGACGATTTGCACTGGACTGAAATACACTATCCACGAATGCAATTGCGAGATGCATACATTCCCAGAGAGCGTGCTTTTCATACGGCCAATGTGATTGGCAACTATATGGTCATCTTTGGTGGTTACACCCATCGCCATAATAAAGAGGAAATTTGCTACGACAATCAAATGTATTTATACCATTTGCGATGCCACACTTGGATCAATTCCGATGTACTCGGCATGAATCCACAGCAACGGTATCCCAAGAAACAAGGTGTTTTTGCACATGCGGCCGCTGTACGAAATGATAATACACTTTTAATCGTCGGTGGATATCATGGGAATGTGAATGCTGATCTATTGGCATATACGCTGCCTCCGATGCTTCAAGTGAAGAAAATCGATCGCGTTTTCGATCCAGAAAACTATTGCCACAAACATTCGGCCATTTCGGAGTGTTTATCGGGTAAGACTGAATCGAAATAAATAACTTTTGAGTTATATCGATTTAAGAAATAAATATATCGAACACTTTCGATCCACACGAAACCAACTATAATTTTTCCAATTTTTTTTTTTGTTCATTTAGATCTCGACTGCGGTTGGTGTAGCACAGACAATGTGTGTTATGGTCGAACATTTGGTGCAAATTGTACTGCAAATCTTCAGACAACCTGGTGCCCAGGCATTTGCCCCGCTCTTCATGACTGTCATGCATGTTTGATCCATGGAAGCGAGAGCTCATCGACAAACGAACGCGTTCGATCGTTTGCCAGTAAATTTGGACTGAATCAATGTCAATGGTGCGTTCAGAATGCACGATGCCATCACAAAGATAACAACTATGGAACTTGTGGTTCCGGTGATGAAACTCCATCACAGGAAATGGGTAAGATAAGAGGATTTTATTGATGATTATTATTTTCCACGAAATTCCAGAAAAACTAAATTTCTATTTACATTTAGGTTGGTGGGGAACGAATGGCATTGAAATCGATTCAGCAAAACAGTGTTCACTTCTCGACCGAAGACCCGGTCTCACATTTCTCAATTACTATTCGCCGGTGAATTTTACGATGCCAGACAGAGTGAGTTTCATAAATGCAACGATGGTGGATTTCCTAACGCCACCGCCAACGACCAAAACTGAGCATGAAATTCACGGAGATATTGTGGCTCGACTGTACGGTTTCATTCGCCCACCGAAAAAATGGATAAGAAATGGTGAACAATGGCACATGTGCGCCAGTTACTCCAAGACAATTCTTAATATGAGTAATTCGTTGAGTGAATTCAATGATTTTCGAACAATGGCCAATTTATCGGTATCACGCACGCAATGCCAAATCATCAATTGGAGCGATGTGATTGCAAGAGATAGCGCCGATTTTACAAACGAAACCATTCTAACGGAACGGCTGTTAATTGATCTCCAGGCGAATCGCAGTTTATTCATGACAGGCACATCACATCCGAATTTCTATCATGCCCCAAGCAAAATTGGACTACAACACAATGGAACGCATGATCTGCAGGCATTTACTTTTGAGTACCTCGAAACATATTCAAATGGTAATTGTGAATCGCTAACAAATTGTCTGCAGTGTTTGTCGGATTCGTTGTGCGGCTGGTGTGATGTGACAAATGAATGTGTTTTGCGGTCAAAGGACGAAGAACTTTGTGTTCGTTCTGATAACGCAACCGACTGGAAATACTTTATTATCGAACCGACGCAGTGTTCTAATTGCTCCGATTTTATCACTTGCGAACAATGCATCGATTCAAACATGTGCGAATGGTGGACGGAAGATGCGCGCTGTGAACGATACGGACGGTATGAGCACGCCATTCGTAGCACCGAACAATGTCCGGCACCATGTCATACGCGTAAAAATTGCGCATCTTGTTTGGATGAAACGGGAAGGTGCGTGTGGTGTGAGACCACTTCAACTTGTTTCAGCTTTAGTGTCTATACCAGCGAGTTTCAATTTGGACTGTGTCGCGAATGGATCGATCAAACCATTTCGATTGGTGATGGCAAGGAACTTCCAAAGCAAAAGTGTAAATCTTGTGAATCGCACACGAATTGCTCGACTTGTTTACAACACTTGAACTGTGGCTGGTGCTTCGATCGCGATAATCCTATTGAAGGAAAATGTTTGCAAGGCGATTTCAATAGCAGCGTTCAAAGTTGTGACGATGTATTACACAGTTCTGGTATGACGAAAATCGTTCCGGGCGAGACTGAATGGGCTTATGCACAGTGTCCAGATGTGGATGAATGCGGGTTGGGATTACATGATTGTCATAAAGAGGTGAGAAAACTAAAAAAGTTTGATGTTTTTTTAAATTACTGAAAAATTTGAAAGAGAATTGAAAAACTAATTTAATTGTTGAATTTCGAATTTTTTCAGGCCAAATGCACAAATACACACGGCTCATACAATTGCTACTGTCGAAGAGGCTTTATTGGTGACGGAAGATCATCTTGCGTTCGAACGTGTTACGAACAATGCGTCAATGGATATTGTTCCGGAGCGCCCGACTACAAATGTATATGCGATATTGGTTGGACGGGTGACTCGTGTTCAGTTTCTTGTGGCTGCAACAATCATTCAACTTGTGTAAACGGCCCGGGTTTCTGTGACGAATGTCAGCATTGGACCGAAGGCGATTCGTGTGAACAATGTCGAGCGGGTAGTTTTGGAAACGCTACATCCATCGAGAAGAAATGTCGTCCGTGTGAGTGCAATGAGCATGGAAATGAGGCTCTCGGTATTTGCGATATTCAAACAGGTGAATGCTTCTGCGAACACAACACAGAAGGCAACAATTGTGAAAAGTGCAGTGCAAATTACTATGGAAATCCAGTAAATGGTGGACAATGTTTTTTCCACTGCGAGTCACGTGGAATGTTGAAAAATTTTGGTTTACAAGGTATCGGTTCATATCAATCGCAGAAAAACACATTTGGACCAGAAATTAGAGAATGTCTATGGATCGTTAGTCCGCATTCTTCAACTGGGCAGCAGTTAACCGACAACTTTATACAGTTTGAGATCATACGTGACTCTTCATTCAATGTGTCATGCAACGAAAATGCTGTATACGTGTATGATGGTTTACCTGATTTGATTGGTCACACGCAACAACGACAATTGCTGAGTGTTTTTTGCGCCGAAGACACAAAATACTACATGGTAGAGGCACGTTCTGGTCATTTGACCGTACATTACAAGCAAAGCGTGAAAGGCCAAGGATTCAATGCAGTTTATACCGTTCAGAGTTGTGCAGCCGGCACATGTGTATTACCACGAGTTTGCAAAGACGGGCATTGCACGTGTGCAGATGGTTTCACCGGAGCCGACTGCAGCATCGAAAGATGTCCGGGAAACTGTAGCGAAGCATTGGGTCAGGGAGTGTGTGATAAATCGTACGGAAGATGCTTGTGTAGCAAGGAATTCGGCGACAAAGACTGTTCGGTTCCGCTGAAGTACGAAAAGAGTGTCATCATTACAGAACTATTCAATTCACTGTTGATTGACGATTCGCTCGAGCATTTGCGGAAAACATTGCCTCGTTTCGGTCATTCCGTGCTCAGTGACAAACGTGGAAACTTGTGGATGTTTGCCGGTTATTCACTTCATCATCAAGCACTGAATGATATTCGACAATTTGATACGAGGAACAGCAGTTGGATGCAGGTATTGTCAACTGAGAAATTTCTCTTTGATTTCAATAAACAAACGAATTTCAATCTTCTTTCTTTCCCTTTCGAAATAGGTTACGGTTGACTCAACGCCTGACGCAAAAATGCCACAAGGCAGATATTTCCATGGAGCCGATTTCCATCATACAAAGCAAGTCATTTACATCTATGGTGGCATGACTGGAGTGCGGAATGCAAGCGAAGCGGTGTTGAATGACTTTTGGAAATTTACTATTTCGAATCAGCGATGGAGAGAAGTTGAAATTAGTTCAAGTATTCGACCGCCGCCATTGACCGGTCATACATTGACTCTAATCAAAGATGGTGATCATGATATTCTGGTGTTGATCGGTGGATTTTCGCCGGTTAAAGGTTTTTCGCAACATACGTACACATTCAATTTAACAACAGCTCAATGGAGTGTTTTGGACACGGTTGGTCAATCGCCGATCGGTATCTATGGACATTCAGCAGTTTATCACTCGCAGTCACAAAGTGTATACGTTTTTGGTGGATACGTCTTTCAGAACAACGATAAAATTGGCATGTCAAACAAATTGTATGCGTTAAGTGTTGGTCAGCGGTCATGGAGTCAAATTCCCACTTTCAGCGGAATCAATCACATTGACGATAATTTGCCAAGAGCGAGATTTTTACATTCGGCTATTTCCACTGACAATTACATGCTCGTTTATGGTGGACGCACATCGCCGGAAAATGCATCAGATTCACTAATTGCCTATGTTTATAAGTGCAACATGTGGATTCGATTGACTGAGAATGTCGAACTGGTCGGTCATGGACAGCTAAAGCCATCTTATGCCCATGGAATGACCTACGATTCCGATGCCATTTATATTGTGACCGGTTGGGATGGAAGCATTATAAGTCGAGTTATTCGTATCAATCTACCAAACGATCTGTGTGAGCTCTTTAGCATCAGTAAACATTTGTGTCGACACTTTATGGGCTGTAGTTTTTGTACGGTGAAACCGAATAGCGAACCCGTTAGCCATTGTTATGCCAATGATCGAACTGATATTTGCACTGAAAATGAAAAACAGTACAACAAAGGCATTCCATGCGATGCATCGGCATTTCGTGGTCGCATTTGTTCCACATTCAACACATGCGAAACATGCACCGCCATTTATCCATACTTCATGGAATCGAGCTCACCATGTCGTTGGTGTGGTGATGGTGCCTCAGGTCAATGTGTACCGCAAAATAGCACGCAGCATTGTGGTGATGACGCAACAATTATTGCCACCAGTTCAAAGTGTACGGGGAGCTACTGTAACGGCGATTGTTATATCTGTATGGAGCGTGGCTGTCACTGGTTCCAAGATGAAAACGAAAAAAGCTACTGCTCTTCGGACGAAACTCAAAGCGAAACCAAACAAGAATCTCATTCATGCCCGAGACGATGTGAAACTTTCAAAAATTGCACCGACTGTTTGTTGGCGAGCAACGAGAATGAAGGCGGCTGCCGGTGGTCAACACAGCTTGAACAATGTATTTCACCCAATTATCAATCTCTTTGGTGCGTTGGCGGTGTTTGCGGTCTGGTGTTGCAAAGCTCTGAAATCGCATACTGTCCCGAACCGTGCGGCGCCTACAAACAATGTCACACGTGTTTGGCGCACGCACACTGCGGCTGGTGCTCGAAAAACAATACCGAAGGAGAGGGCGTTTGTACGGAGGGATCGCTTGAAAGCCCATCTGAATTTCCGGCCGCTTCAACATGTGATATTATTTATGCAAATCAAAAGAATCTGACGATAATTAATCCAAACGATGAATTTATATGGAACTATGTAAAATGCCCACCCGAAAATGAATGCGTCAACGGGCATCACAATTGCGACCCGAAGTCGGAACGATGCATGGATCGTGTGATTGGATACGAGTGCGAGTGTGCCGACGGATTCGAATCGATGTCTGCTGCTGAAAATGCACTTTCGAACAATGTTTCGATTGTGGACAAGGATTTTTGTATACCGAAGTGTATTCAAGGCTGTGTGCGGGGCCGATGCGTCGAACCAAATAAGTGTGATTGCGATTTTGGATACGTTGGAGCCAACTGTAGCATTCAATGTTTATGCAACGGCCATTCGGATTGTCAAGTGAGTAGAGATTTTGTTTTTTGTCAATCAAAAGAATATTTCTTTAAATTTTAGCCACACAGGGTGTATTCCATTTTCCGTCAGGCATCGGACCTTTTTTCTTTAAATAACAGAATATGGTAGAGAAGTAGTAAAATATATATGCGGTTGCCAAAATATGCAGTTTTTATTGAGAAAAATCATATGTAAATTGAAAAAAAAAACTGATCATATAGAAATATGTTTTTTTGCTTTTCAAACGGGAGAGAAATAACTCTTTTCAATTACGTTTCATTGAAAAGTAATAGTTGGAGAAAATTACCAGAAAAAAAGTAATTGAAGAGGAAATATTTGACATTTTGGATGTAATTTTTGGTCAACAATTACTTTTTTTCTTCCAATTACTTTTCAAATTACTTTTTCTCTAACTATTACTTTTCAGTGAAAAGAGTGATTTCCCCCTCGTTTTCAAAGCAAAAAATCGAACAGACAAAATGAAATACAGATAGAAGAAGCGTTTTTTTTAAATATGAACGTTGTCAATTCACTTCGATTCGAAAAAGAAAAAAATATGCCTCGGCAAACGATGGCGGTTAACAGAAGTGATGGTTAATAGAGAGACGGATAATCGAGATCGTACTGTATCTAAATTTGGTTTATTTTGAATCATGGCATTTCAAATTTTCAATACAAAAAATTGCATTCATTTCCAGGGACCTGATCAGCTCGACAAATGTCTCGAATGTAAAAACAACACGGTTGGCAATCAATGTGAAATGTGCGCTCCGCTGTATGTGGGCGATGCTCGTAACAATGGTGAATGCATTGCATGCATTGACTATTGTCATGGTCACAGCGATTTATGCGTCGACAGAGACTCAAACGCAACGGTAAAAAATATGAACCGAAACGAATTACTCGAAACACTTACTCATGGTCCAGTTCATGATGCGCTCTGTCTACGATGCCACAACCAAACAACCGATGAACGTTGTGAAGGATGCATTTTCGGTCATTTCAGAGGATCCGAAGACTTTCAGTTGCAATGCAGAAAGTGCCATTGTCAGGTAAGTGATACCGAAAATGACACTTGACACATTTGAACTTCATAAAGTTCAATGAATCAATTCTTCGGTTGACCTCAGACAAAACTAATTTTCCCATTTTTTTTCTTCAGGGGCATGGTGACACTTGTGATCCGGTGACAGGTGAAAAGTGCAACTGTGGTAATAATACCGAAAGTGATACAACGTGTACATCGAATCGTAATTCAGCGCATCAATGTTGGATGTTACAATGTTCAAAGTGTCGTGAGTCGTATGCTGGCAATCCAATTGACGGCCATCAATGCTACAAGCAAATAACGGTTGAATCGAAAATGTGTTTCGATGCCAAAACCATTGATGAATGCAAAAAACCGCAACCCTTGCGAAATGGTCAAACAACATTTTTCGTCATACAACCGAGGTTCATGAACGTCGACATTCGAATAATAGTGGATGTAACAAGTGGTGAATTGAATTTGTATATGAGCCCGCAAGAGGATGCACTGGTCGTGGAAACGAGCACAGAAAACAGTCATCACAATGTGTTCTTTGACAGTAAATACACATGGTTTGCCGATTACAATTCCGAACTGATTGAACCAATAAGCATTGCACGGAAATCATCGTCAATTTTCTCCACTCATCCGTTCGACGGGAATTTTTCATTCACAAATAATCGCCGCTTCTTACCAGACGTAACGCATGACTGCAGCCCATTAAATCTAAACAGTTTATTTGTGAAAGATGTGCACGCAAAGGAGCTCAGCACATATGTTACGCTCAACAAATGCAATACAATGCTTCGCGTTTACAATTTAAAGAATCGCCTGGTAATCACACTTCCGCAGCACACACATAATTTGAGCTCAACCCGGTTCTATATAGCGTTGCGAGCAACCAATGGACCAGCCAGCTATGGTTTGGTGTTCTTCCGACAAGATCAACTGCACATCGATTTATTCGTATTCTTTTCCGTGTTTTTCTCGTGCTTTTTCTTGTTTTTGGCAGTTTGTGTGGTGGTGTGGAAGGCGAAACAAGCGGCCGATGTGCGACGAGCACGGTTACGCCATGTCGTTGAAATGTTGCACATGGCACGAAGACCATTTGCATCGGTGCAGCTGTCCGTTTTGAATTCGGATACACCACAGCCACATACACGACGCGCACTTCGTGCACATAATTCAAAGCATACAAATGCCGGCGTTCGACCGATTGCCGTGGAAATTACTGCCGATAATTCAGCAGCCGTGTGTACAGTTTTTGTTCGATTGCCCAGCAATGGTAAATCACCAAACATTTCACTTGCTTCAGCGTTGGTGACGATGAACTCAAGACAATTTCCCGTGTATCAGCGCGTCCCGTATATTAGACGACGTCGAATCTCAACAAATAATCCGAGTCTAAATCCAACTCCTGGACCTGGGCCATCATCACCATCAAATCAACGGCCTTTAGCCCTTCAATTACGAAGAGAACGAAATCTCAACATTAACCAAGTAATCTGAATAGATGTTTATCGATCCGAAAATTGATCATCGATGTGTTTTTTTGATTGAATTGAAAAACAAATGATAGTGATTGCTGTGCAACTCACAAACATACAACACAATAGACAGAGGCACAACACATACACACACACACACACACACACATACAAACGATTTCTCCAATTTTCCAATTCAGTCAGCCTAAATACTATATTTAAGATTCCGTGCGACCCCATTTGATTGAGACGATTTAAAAAAACAAAATATATTTATAGTGAATTATTTTTTGATAATAACTGACCTAAATGTGATATGTAGAAAAATGAAAATGGAAAAAAAGAAGAAAAAAAAGAAACAAAACCAGACAAAAAAGAGAATATGTTGTAGATATATAGAGAGAAAAAAGTATCAAAATGTTTTCAACAGAGAAAAAATGAACCAGAAAAACTAATCGTGGGCACACACACCCTACGAAAATCACACAAATTGATATTTTATATTGATACATATAATAGATGAATAGTTTTTACTAGGAAAAATGGATAAATGGAAAACTTCGATGATAAAAAAAACATACACACATTGACAGAATAAAAAACAAGAAAAAAACGTTAATTTTTTTTAGTTAAATCTTTAAATATCAGTATATGTGTAATAAAGTATTATTTTTAAATGGAAAATGGTGATTGATTTTCATTTCCTCTCCCACCAGTAAAGGTCCCTTGTTTTCACTCTTTCTTTCCAAAATTCCAATTGGGTTAGTTAGTTGGGGTCAAATGATCACGAATGACACCAATTATTTATTCCCGAAATTCATTGGGGGTAGTTTTAAGGGGGTCGAAAGTTGGGAACCCCAAACTTTCTGATCGCCATATCTTCTAAACGGGTGAAAATATCTAAAAAGTGTCTTCGGCAGGTAGATCTAGTCGAAATTAATAACTTTGCCGATCAAATCATCCCCAAAAAACCACCCTTTCAGCTCTAAAAGCTACCCTGAAAATCGGATAATTTTTTCGAGAAATATTGGGAATCTACTCACATAAAATCTCTTACAAATGATTTTTGGGGTACCTCCCGAACAAAAAATGTTATTTTCATAGCAAAATGCATGAAAAACGTAACTTTTGTTCGGGAGGTACCTCGAAAAGTCAATTTTGAGAGTTTTTGTCTGGGTAGACTCCCCATATTTTTGAGCAAAAATAACTTTGCGCCAAGATACCATCCCTGAAAAGCCTATATTTGAGGATTTTTTGCCAAAAGTCGATTCTTTTAGAGTTGAAATCGAACCAACCAAATATGCGGCAAGAAATATGTGAAAACATCACTCGATTTGGTTATGTAAGTACCCAAAATGATCGTAAAGGATCATTCTATATGTTAAAAGGCAGAAAAGGTAGAAATTATTTGCTTTTACCTGTCAAACCGAAGCTCATTTTGTGATTTGCTCATTTTGGCCTGAAATTTATCTTATATGTGTCGATAAAAAAAAATCTAGGGTGATGCACGCGGATTTACGACGGTCGGATCGCAAGAAGTCAAACCGGCCCTACTCCTTTTGATTATAGGTACATTAATATCGGTGGTATTGATGCTCGTCGAAATTTCCGCGCACAAAGTCAAAATCAATTGGCCTACTGAGAAAAGAAAAGCACATCGTGGATCAACTGATCAGAAATGGGCAAGAGTACATAAAAAATATACAAAATATAGGGGATCATTTTAATCATTTATAAGCTAATTTGAATTGTAAATGTTTTCAGACATGTTGATAGCTATCAAAGTGAACCATTCCTTATTAGTCTCACCGAAAACGCGAAAAACCGCGAAATTTTATGTACAGTTGTGATTTTCGCGTTTTTCGTGGAACTGAAAAGAGATAAAGACTTGGTATCTTCGGAAAATTTATAGTGCTCGAGGTCCTTCACAACTTCAGACAGTTCTCACTTATCTCTTATCAGTTTCGCGAAAAACGCAAAGAATCATGAAAAAAAGTAAAATTTATGCTGAATTCATGCAAAGAGCAAGTGGCAACGCCACAGAACTACTCAACTGCAAATAATAAGATAACAGTGTTAATTACAAGATAATAATGTTTATTATAATGCTAATTTTTTCATAACTTTTTTCTTATTTTATTAATTTAGTAATGTGAGATGATCGCACCAACGTGCCATTTCTGAAAAAAAAAAATAAAACCACTGCAGCTCATATTTGCAGTTAATAGCATAAAACGCATCTTATTATTTTTATCTAAGCCAGTTCCATTTTACAAAATTGCTTAACAGGAATAAAAACCGAAACTGTCATTCCATTTTTCACAAAAAAACTGAACTGCGGTTCAGAGATTTTTAGGAATTTATTCGTGTTCATCAGATAGTTGAAATAAAATGGTCACGTCTAACGAAAATAATAAGGATCCCATTCAAACGAATGGTCTCGTCTCATTTCGATGAATCTCAAATTGGTGTCACCGTTTCTTGTCGTCCATTTAGTAGCCAAGAAGATATCATCGCGCACATAAATCGTTATTTTTCGTGCTCCACTCAGCTTAGCTCGTTCCTCATTCAACATTGTCAAATTCAAAACACCCCCTTGAATACTACCATCGAATCGTATTTTTGTCAATTTCAATGATCGACGAATGAATGCCAAAATGATATCATGAGCATCGAATTCATGATAGGGGGAAAGCCAAAGACGTTCGAGATTTTTCAGGCCATGTGCTAAAACCTCGAAATCTTCTATATCGGCATTCAATCTCCCATATCCAACACGTGGATATCCAACATTTGGAATATATATTTCTCTCAAATTAGTAAATTGAATGTAATTGTATTTTTTATCAACGTTTCCTATGTTTAAAAACTCGAGATTCTTGACCAAGGAAAACATAGTTAAAAAATCATCGGAAACTTCAAAGGTGTAAATGTGTAGTCGCTTATAAAAGCCTTGGTCATGGAGTTGATTTAATAGTTCAAAAAGATTTCTCGAATACGACGTACAACGTCCATTGAGAATCAATGTATCCAATTTTGCATTCGAATTTAAGAGTATGTCACCATTATCCAAAAAAAATGTTGGATAAGTTGAAAATATCCGCACAGTTGGAGTGTATTCGAAAAATTCACGTAGCTCTTCAATTTTACCACAATCACGGGGTACCCAATGTAAACATTCAAGATGGGGATATTTTTGTAACAGCCAGTTGAGTTTACCGTTTTTGCGTTTATTGACATCCGACGATTCAACATAAATCCCCCGTAAATTCTGACAATATTTCAATATCAATTTGTAGAAATCACCATCCACCGAACACGATTTAATACGTACAATTTCCAGTTGCGGCAACAATTTTTTAAAACACTCAACTCTTCTTTTATTAATACAATTTATTCTGCTAAGATATAACTTCTTGGTTGACTCAAATTCACTTATATGAGATTTAAGATATTTAAATGAACCGAATTCAAAGTCAAAGCAAAATAATAGGCAAATTGAAATGCGTGGATTGAAGTTATTAAAACCAGGTGTTTTGATTGTTTTAAATGAAGAATTTCCTTTTTCGTAATAAAGCGTGTCAATTCCGTCTTTACGACATTCATTCGAACTCGTTAAATGATTTCGTTTGAAATATTCTCCAGCCAGATTGTTCATTCGCTTGCATGTTTGACCGAACGAATGCAGATCTTTCATACACAAATATTCAAATATTTCGTTAAAGCAATCATCGTTCATTTCAAATAGTTTTGGTGGTGGATTGAAATTTGATGGTCCAGCTTCTTGTGAGCGTCTCATTCGTACAAATGACGAATACAGGTTCTTCAAAATATTCATCTGAAAAAAGAATGATCAAAAATTATGATAAACATTTTGCGAAAACAATCACTTAAAAAAATTATAACAGAAAAATACCACAAATTTTATGAATAAATTATTTTTTAAGGAAATTTGGAATGAAATAAACGCGAGATCTCACGTTATTGTCGCACTGAAAGACAAGAGAATATCAAATGTATTTATTTTGACAATAAGGATCGTTGGTCGAAGAGACAAAAATATAATGACCGGTTGACAAGGATTTCTAATCTTTTTCAAGTTCATTCTGAAGTTGGTTCATATCATTGCAAATTGGTGCAACACGTTTCAAATAGATTGACATTTCTACCCGTGTTCTATTACAAAACGATTGATCTATTAACTTGAATGGCTTCAAATATTCTAGCGGAAAATGTTCGTTTAAAATTATTTAGATTCATACAGTTTTGGTTTAGCATTAATGTTTTAGTAATCTTTTCCTTGAATTTATTTCAATTTCGGGCAAAATTTCTTTATGAAAGATATTATTTATTATGGTATAAGCAAATTATGGCATAGGCTCAAGAAAAATGATCACAAACACATAAATTCTAAAGTAAATTTGCCTGTTTCTTTCAAAATATTTCAGCTAGAAAGGCGTTATCGGCTACGTGTAAAATTTGAAATTTTTTTTTCAACTTGTTAGCTCACATATGTGACGAAATCGCGCATATACGTATACGCACGAGAATAAAATCGATTTGAAAAAAGAGTCATCCCAACGAAGCTTTGAAGAATGCATCGAACATTCAATGTAGTCACGAAGGGAATCACGAAAATCAAAACTAACTGCAAGAAATCAAACGGCACATATTCATTACATTTATAATGTCAACCTATAACACAATTTTTTACAGCTTAAGACCAAATTGAAGGTAATTAAATCGATTTTTTTCATAGTGTCGTCTTTCTTCATTTTTCTTTTAACTATACAAAGTATTTTTTCGTATTTGTCTTCCTTGTTTTTTTGAGCGTTTTATTTCGTTTTGCTAGAGTATAATGCTACTATTATTATTTGTATATGCATTATCAAATGGATCGATTTCAGTAAACACCTCCTGCAAGAAATAATAGTTTACAAAGAGTAATCTGGTTGTACATACTGACAATGACTATGACTACAACTCTATTTTCTATTGATACACGACGTGCTACGGCAAGTTCTGAATGATAACAGAGGTTTGGAACTATTAGTGATTGTTCAAACACTGCTACTGAAACTAGAAACATGCTATCGACTGGCAAACGTATCCTTTGATAAGTTAGAGAACGCATCGTTTCGACTCCCTTATTTTTGTCATGCATTTGCACTGTAGCAAAATGAGATACATTGCTTTATGTAGCAGGTAAAAAAATGTGCCATGCGTTTCAAATGAATACGAAAACTGTGGAACTCCCATCAATCTACACTATTTGTATTCAACGATTTTTTCAGTCTTTTGTACTCTTATTTGTAATGGAAATTAGATTTCTTAAAAGTCTCCAATATCTTTGTGTGCGGGAGTTTTGTGTAGCGACTAACGTATTACACACAACGCAAGGGTGTTTCTAATACACTAGCGTAAACGCAGCAGCCTCTGTGTTACCGTATGCAACAATAGATAATACCGATCAAAGGTCACACGCACATATACAGTATTAGAGAAAAAAACAAAGATTTCACTATTGGGACTTCCATCGAAACTCAAAGAGAGAAAATAGTTAGATAGTTAAGTCTGAAGGAAATAGTTAGTCTTAAAAAGCTGAAAAAGGATAGAGGTTAATGAAGAATGAAAAATAAAAATAGAAAGAACATACATTTCGCAAAAAAAATATTTACTCATTC